ATCACCTGAGGTCGGGAGTTCAAGACCAGCCTGACCAACATGGTGAAACCCCTTCTTTAAAAAAAATGAAAAAAATAAAAAGAAAAAAAGTTATCATTTTCAAACAACTAAATTGTACAATTAAAAATTTATAAACAGGGCCGGGCGCGGTGGCTCAAGCCTATAATCCCAGCACTTTGGGAGGCCGAGGCGGGTGGATCACGAGGTCAAGAGATCAAGACCATCCTGGTCAACATGGTGAAACCCCGTCTCTACTAAAAATACAAAAAAAATGAGCTTGGCATGGTGGTGCGTGCCTGTAATCCCAGCTACTCAGGAGGCTGAGGCAGGAGAATTGCCTGAACCCAGGAGGCGGAGGTTGCGGTGAGCCGAGATCGTGCCATTGCACTCCAGCCTGGGTAACATGAGTGAAACTCCGTCTCAAAAAAAAAAAAAAAATTTATAAACAAACTATATGCCTAAGAAGAATAAGAACTAATTAGTCTGGGCACAGTGGTTCATGCCTGTAATCCCAGCACTTTGGAGGCCAAGGCAGGTGGATCACTTGAGCCCAGGGGTTCAAGACCAGCCTGAACAAAAGAAAATTACAAAAATTAGCTAAGCAGGGTGTTGCATCTCTGTAGTTTCAGCTACTCAGGAGGCTGAGGTGGGCGTGTTGGAAACAGTGAGTTCTTCTACAAAGGTTCCGCTCGTCCTCTGTTTTCAAAGCCTTACTTCCTTGCCTCCTTGCCCCTAGTTACGGTAAACAACCTTCCAACGATTCCCAATCTGTAACCCACATCTGTTCCTTATTTGGCACCCTTAGTTTCAAAACTGCTCTTCCCACCGCTGTCGCCCCCACCCTGCTGCACTTGAAGTAGCCGATGGGGATCAGTTTAGATTGTGTGGTCTGACCTCAGCCAATGAGGACTGGACACAGTAGCAGGGACTGGCTGTGTTAGGGATCAAAACCCCTTCCCTCCTTTGTTCCTTGTGCTCTCACGGTGACCAGAAGTGTGAGCAGCACTCTTCTGCAGAAGTAAATTTCCATTGGTGAGAAATTCTTTGAGTGCTCATTTTCTTTGCAACTCCAAGTTCTTATTTCCAACAGGTGGATCACTTGAGGCTGCAGTAAACCATGACTGCACCACTAAACTCCAGCCTGGATGACAGAATGAGACCTTGTCTCAAAAGAAAAAAAAAAAAAAAGAATTTATCAAGGTCACTGAATATAAGGTACAGAAATCAATTTATTCCTATCATCAGTACCAGCAACAAACAAATAGAAAATGAAATGTGAAATGCTGCCATCAAAATAGTGTCAAAATATCTAACACATAGGAATAAACTGGATTAAATATATGCAAGATATCTATTCTGTAAACTACAAAACATTATTGAGATAAATTTCTTAAAGACCTAAGTGAAGAGAATACCATGTTCATGGATTGCATTGATAGGAAAATCTTTTCCTCTACCAGTCTAGATCCTTGTTGTTGGGAGCCTGCAAATTAATTAACAATAGAGAGGTGGAAAGGAAAAGTTTATTTACACATTAGGCATGGGGACTCTGTAATAAGTAACTCATTGAATAGCTGGAAGTAAAGGTTTATTTTCCAATTTAAGGAAATGGGGTTCAGTGAAAAAGTATACATGGTTCTCTTTATTTATTTATTTTTTTTTTTTTTGAGACAGAGTCTTGCTCTGTCACCCAGGCTGGAATGCAGTGGCGCCCTCTCAGCTCACGGCTCTGCCTCCCAGTTTCAAGCGATTCTCTTGCCTTGTTATCCCGAGTAGCTGGGATAACAGACATGCACCATCATGCCCAGCCAATTTTTATATTTTTAATAGAGACGGGGTTTCACCATGTTAATCAGGCTGGCCTCAAACTCCTGACCTTGTGATCTGCCCACCTTGGCCTCCCAAAATGCTGGGATTACAGGCATGAGTGGTATGCACCTGTGATCCCAGTTACTTAAGAGGCTGAGGTGGGAGGATCTCTTGATCCCAGGAGTTCAAAGCTACAGTGAGCCATGATTATGTCACTGAACTCCAGAGTGAGACCTTGTCTCAAAAGAAAAAATAAAGAAAATTAAATTGTTAAAATTTTTTAAAAATTGGATACAGTCTGTGTGAAAATGACAAAAGTGGACAGGGGAGGCTGGGCGTGGTGGCTCATGCCTGTAATCCCAGCAATTTGGGATGCCAAGGCGGGTGTATCACCTGAGGTTGGGAGTTTGAAACCAGCCTGACCAACATGGAGTAACCCCATCTCTACTAAAAATACAAAAATTAGCTAGGCATGGTGGCACACACCTGTAGTCCCAGCTAATCAGGAGGCTGAAGCAGGAGAATCACTTGAACCCAGGAGGCAGAGGTTGCAGTGAGTTGAGATTGTGCCATTGGCACTCCAGCCTGGGTGACAGAGCGAGACTCCCATCTCAAATTTTAAATAAAGACTATGAAAATTAGGGGGAAAAATGTTCTGAAAAAAAAAAAAAATCAACAAAGCTCCCACTGGTGTAACAAAAAGGAGCAATGAGAAAAACAGGAAAGGAAAGTGAAGAGGTCAGTGCAGGGTGGCATTCCAGACTGGGACGTTCTCCAGAAGGGTAGGAGGTGAAAATGGAGAGGAGGCAATGGACAGACACACACATTCAGGGAGTCACCAAGACCACCCTTGCTTCTGACGTTGACTGCAAGCTCAGGAGTCTCCAAGACCACCGTCAGTTTCAGCATTTGCTAGAAAGGCTCACAGAACTCACTAGGATCAGTTATTCTCATGGTTGTGGCTCATTATAGTGAAAGGAATCAGATTAAAATCGGCCCAGGGAAGAGGTCCATGGGACAGAGACCAGGAGAGTTCCAAGTGCTAGTTTAATACCTGGTAGAGCTGTCGGCAGCAATAACTTCTCCCAGCAATGATAAGTGACATGGTGTCACCCAGCAGGGAAGCCTACCTGAGCCCCGGTGTCTAGGGTTTTTAATAGGGATCTGCATGTAGACAAGGCTGACCGCTTGTGTGGTTCCCCTTAAATTCTAGCCCCTCCAGAGGTTAAGCTGATGGCCCAAAGCCACCACCATAAATCACCGTTAGCACAAACCATTTGATGTGGCCCAAGGTCCCAGCTAAACAAAGACAGTCTACCCAGGCTGGACATTCCAAGAACTCAAAGATTACCTCCCAGGAGTAAAAGGCAAAGGTGAGACTTCTATTTGGGTGAGGTTAATCCTTTACTGAGCAGACAAGAAAAATTCAAAGGGCCAAAGAGAGAAATGTGATTTCGATAGAAGGGCTTAAAGTAAGGGGAGTGAGAAAAACACCCATCTTGATGCAATGTCAGTGCCACAGGGATGACAACAAGCCCCTCTGCCTTTACACATCATGGAACCAGGCCACCAACTGCTGGGGAATAGGATTTCGAACTAGTCATTCTGGGGCTAGAATTTATCATCTAATCTAATGTGAAGGTGGAAAAAGACATTTCAGATATTCAAAACACTGAGCTACCAAGCACCCTTTCTGCAAAAGGCACTTACGGATATACTTCAGGAAAACTAGAATGAAATTCAACAAAGAGGATGCAAGTTTCTCAAAAGAGGAGCCATATGAAGGAAGGTAGTGTGAAGACATCAAAGGAGGACAGTACTGCAGCAGCCCAGGGAACAGCCAGTGTGTCCATGACTATTTAATAAATAGAATAGGAGCCGGGCGCGGTGGCTCAAGCCTGTAATCCCAGCACTTTGGGAGGCCGAGGCGGGTGGATCACGAGGTCAAGAGATCGAGACCATCCTGGTCAACACGGTGAAACCCCGTCTCT